ATCTTTGGTAAATCCTACAGTCTCCACTCACAGATCGAAAGGTTGAGTTTGAGAGCTTAAAACAATGCTCCAAGGATTAGCCAGCTACAAAATGACTTCCTCACTGTTTGGAATGTTAAACCGGCTACACAGATTACGACTCAGAGCACAGAAAGAGGAGTCAGAGTTACAGTGAACCTGTCTTTTTTTGTAAGAAAGGTAGACGATAGACTACATTTAGATTCATGGCCTCAAAAAATTATAATACTTCGGTTCAGGGGCACTGCTGTTTGCTTGGTTCATGAATTTCTCACTTGGTGGTGAACACAGCCCTGGCCATCTTCCCCGGAGCTGTGGAATGAATGAAGTTCGTGGATTGAGGTACCATTGTATTCTTCTCAAAAAACCCAAGAATTATCAAAATATACTTACTGAGAATGTCCAGAATGGTACACCCCAAATTTGGAAAATTCTTCTCAGATATATCTGCAGCACTTAGAAAAACTGACCAGACACTGGAAAGGAAAAGCTTGTGTTGGACTTGGAGGTGCAGCACAGTGATGCAGTGAGATTTGGGGAGCCAAGACCTAGTTCAGTCCCCAACACCATGCGAGAAAAATATTTGTCTCTATAAACTTCATTTAGAATATATTCCCTAACAATGAAACTTAACTAGAAATATAAAAGAAAAATATGACTGGAAATCCTCGTGTGTTTATAAATTAAATCTATATCTTAACCTCTAAATCAGAACAGAAATCAGTGGAATTTAGAAAGTATCTGGAACTCAATGACAATGAAACATAAAATACAAAACTCGAGGAGGATGAAATTAAGTAAAAGTTACCTAATGAATACCTTTAAAGAACTATATTTAAAAACAAAAAAGGCTGAAACATCTATATGATATAATTGGCAAAAAGTACAAAGTAAAACAATAAAGACCAAAAAGTAAAATAGACACAAAAATACAGAAGAAAGGAAATAATGAAGGGAAATTAATGACATAGAAAACAAATGTGACGTAAGAGGAGCAACAATGTTAAAGTTAATTGTTTGAAGAGGCTAATAAAATTGACAAGCTTATAGAGAGTAAGAAAACCCAATGATAAATTTTTATCTGAGTAAAAAAAAAAAAAAAGAATTAACGACGCATATGAGAAGTTACCAAAAATTATCACTGCATATGGTGCTGCCACTAAAAATATATAGTGAAAATGTTATGAGCCAGGAGAAAAATACAACTTACAAAACAGACCCAGGAAGAAATAGAAAGCCAGCTGTGGTAGCACATAACTGTAACTCCAGTACTCGGGAAGCTGAGGCAGGATTGCTGTCAGATTAAGACCATCCTGGTCTTCTGAATATGGGCTGCTTGTCATGACATGCCAGTTGCTGCTATGATGTCTCTCAGGCAGATGGTTGTTTAAGAAGAAGGGGGTGGTGAAGGAAAGCAAGAGACAGGAAAAGGAATAATGTGGGACTGTCTTGCTTCAAGGTTGTATATGGTGAGATTTTTGGACTTATGTGTAAACATAAGAAGTATATAATTCTTTATGCCTATTTTAAAAATATATTCTAATTTTTAAATGTTTTTTATCATATTCTGTAGGGACTTAAAGTTCAACATTTCAATATTCGATGAAAAATGCCTGTTCCATATTATGTCTAAGATGTTTGATATGCAGACAGATAGTGAGGTTAAGCTTAACAGCCTAAGTTGTATGGTAATAACAATAAGCTTGTCTTCTGGATAGTTAACAACCTAAGTTTGCAGACCAAAATTAGAGAAAAAGGAGGGCCGCAAGGAAAGCCAACATTTTGGCCCTAGCCTTCTAAGGTCAATTAAGAAAGTGATTGATGATGTAGAGTGTGCCTAAGGAGAGTCACTTGGAGAGAAAACATTCTCTCAGACTTTCACAGAGAGCACATTGGCCAAGCAATGGCCGTGACTCATCCACATGGCTAACAGTGACAAAGGTTCCACAATCTGAGGTACAGGATCTCAGGATAAATCCTGAGGGGATTTCACTGACCTTATCAGACCCAAAAGCTACAACTCTTGTTGTATAGGTCCTGCTTTACCTTGGTCTTAACCATCCAGCAGAAAAGTAAAAAAAGAAATATAAGAAGTAAAGCCATGCTGTTATGTTGAGCTATAGGGGACTCAGGTCAACAATTTCTGACATTGCCAGTGAAGCGGAAGACCCAATACTATTATGGGCTGCTGCACTCTTTTAGAATATTTTACTGAGTTTATACACCTATAATATCAAATAACGGAACTTAACAAAAAAAGGGGATACAGATGAATGTCCATTTTGTATCTGTGTATTCAAAGTGGTTAGGATAGATATATAGTTACATTCTCTTAATGAATAGAGGGATTTGTTCTAATGGTGTTTGTAAATAGGATATCATATCCACATCTTGTACAGCAATTAACCAATAGGAAGAATGTATGCAATGTGTGAGTTATTGAAACTGTCCTACCAATTTGATTTGAAACAGTCTCATTGCTATTTCTTTCTCAATAAAATTATGGGGGAAAAAAAGACCATCCTGGGCTACATAGGTGAGTTTCAGTCCAGCCTGAACTGCATATTTAAAAAAAAAAGAAAAAACACAAATAGTTTTATAGCTATTGAAGACATGCAATCAGTAATTAAAAACCTTATAAACTTCAGACCAAACGACTTGACTGACAAAGCTCTCCTGTAAAGTCAAAGAAAATATTTTCTAATTAACACAGAAGTTAAAATCAATAGAGAGGAAGCTGCCCCTGTGCTAATTTTGTAGGTCTCCTGTAATAATTTCACAAGCTGGTGGGCCTGAGACAATGAAAGTGTATGGTTCCACAGCTTTGAAAGCTGCAGCTTTGCAATGCAGAGGTCAGTGGCCTACCCTTTCTCACAGACCGGAGGGAAGAGTCCTTCCGGCCTCTTCTGGCTTCTGCTTCCAGCAAGCCTTGGCTCCTGGATGCCACAATCCCTGCCTCTGTCTTCACCCGACCCTTCCTCCTTCATGTCCATGTCCTAACGTCCTGGTGGTGTACAGATCCCCTTTGATTCAGCATTACTTAATGAAATTACACTTGCAAAACCCTGTGTCCAAATAAAGTTATATTTCTAAGAGACTCTAGCAATTTTCCTGGCTATATCAGTAAAATCAGTATTCCAAAATTAATAGGATTGTTCTGTGCTGTAAATAATTAAAAAGTGAAACCATTATACCCTTCTGTGTGCCCTTTTTTTTTTTCAAGTTGGAACATTAATACTATAGTTATGAAATAAGGAAAAGACTATACTACAGAGTTTAAGAATTGAGTTTTGTACCTAAATTACCTAAGTGCAAATCTTAACCTGTTAGTTGTTAGTCATATGACTTAAGTAATGATTTAACATCTCAAAGCCTTAACTTTCTTATCTGTAAAAAGGAGATTATTAGGGGCTAGGGAGATGGCTCAGTGGAATAAGCGCTTCCCTGGCAAGCGCAAGGGCCTGAGTTTAATCCCTGGTTCTGCAAAAAAAAAAAAAAAAAAAAATGGAGATTATTAAACTATTCAACCTAGGTGTTATAAACATGAAATGAGACAGTATATTGAACAACTTAGCAAATGACTGATACAGTTATCCAATAAATATTAATTTCCCTTATTTATAAAAAACTATATAAAGGTACAGGAATAATGAGCCCAAGGCTCAAACTGCAGTTGATTTGGTTTCTCTAGAACAAAAAGGAATATTAAAAAATAAAACAAAATACTGGACTAGAAAGTGAAATATGATGGATAGATGAGAAAAAAAGTATAGTTCCTAGATTGAAAAGGAATGCAGCAGCAATTAACCACTAGGAAGAATATGTGCAGTGTGTTATTTGTTGAAACTGTACTTCCAATTTGATTTGAAACTGTCTCATTGCTGTCTGTTTATCAATAAAATTTTGAAGAAAAAAAAAAAAAAGGAATGCAAAAAGAAATAGGTAGAGGCTGGCCAGATAGCTCAGTGGACTAAGGCGTCTGCTTAGGCAGAGCGCAACAGCCATGGTTCAATCCCCAGCATGCTGTGCCAGCCCTGCCTCTGGGGCACCCTGAGAGGGGGATTGAGACTGGGTGTGGTGGCACCACCTGTAATCCCAGCACTTGGGAGGCTGAAAACAGGAGGATCACTACATGTCCAATCTACATAGTGAGACCCCGTAGACCCTGTAGACCCTGTACCAAACACATTAAATTTTTTTTTTTAATGAGAGGGGCAGAATCAACATCAAAATGATGGTTTTTGGCTGAGGACTATTCCTCATCCCTGTGTTTTTAAGTTTGTCTCTAGATAGAGTTGCTACCTCCTGCATAGGAAGACAGATCGTTGGGGGTTACAGGATTTCTGGCAAAGATTTCAAAATTGTTCTCTTGTTTAGTTCTGTTTCTCAGGATAGTTCTTTTCTTGGGCCTTTGAGGCCCCAGGCATCTGAGCCGTCCAGACAGTGACCAAATCCCTGCTCGTGAGCAGGAAAGCCCAAGTCCTTCTCAACACTCTCTCCTCCTCCTCATCTTTGTGTCCTTCAGGCGCAGATATCAACAGCTTCAGCACTCCCGTGTCCTCTGCGGAAGGACTGGGATCTGTAGTCGATGAACTTCAGAGATATGGGAAGCCTGTGGTGGCCGCTATCGAAGGCGTGGCCCTCGGAGGGGGACTGGAGCTGGCGCTGGGCTGTCACTACAGGATTGCGCACGCACAGGTAACAGCTGAGCCCCGTGCGGGGCTGCCCTTTCCTTAAGGCAAGCTCTAAATGTAGTCATAAGCATCAGAGATGGTTACTTTAGATATTTAACTTGCTGATTAACAAGTCTTTGCTAGCTCCTCACTGATGTTACCCTGCATCATCCTTGTGCAGGTGGTTGTGATGGAAACACTTCCATTCCAGTTGGCAAACAGTTCCTGCCCTGAGTCCTCCCCTTTTTCTCCCTTACCCTTAGCTCTGAGATCACTATCGGAGCTGGACTGCATTCTACTGTGTGATAGTCCAGGCTTTCTCCTATTTTGTGGGTGTCTTCGTAGGTGTGACAAGAGATCCAGTGAGGGCTGCTGCTGAGTGCTATCCATCAGAAACCCAAGCTTATACAATACAGGGCGCCCCCCCCCCCACTTAGCCACTGGGTCTGGTGCAGTGTGATTTCTAGTTTTTTTTCCCCCAAGTCAAAATAACCATGAAAAGTAAACATTCTGAATCAATTCAGGACCCTGAAGCAGAAGGAAAATTTCCAGAACTGGCTTCAGGAAGTGGCAAAGACGATGGCATAAGTGTGTTCAAAGTAAGAGGGAGGATTTCGAGGGGGATTCATGGAATTGTATCTCTCACTGTATGTTTTTTAACTAGATACTTTTTCAAGCTTCATAAATAAAAGCTGAGGGTCCCTAGTGCAAAGATACAAAATCCAAAATGCTCCCAAGTCCAAAACTTTTTAAATGTTGGACATGCCACCACAAAGGGAAAACCGCACACCTAATGTCACATGACAGGTGGAAATCCAAAGCCAGACAGACTAAAAATATGGTATAAAATGGCCTTCTGGCCATCTAGATAAAGCACGTGCGAAACATAAATGAATATACTGCGGACTTGGGTGTCATTCCCAGAAATATCACTGAGTATATTCAAATACTCCAAAAGACTTTTAATCATTTATTTATTTATTTGGTATAGGGTCTCACTACACAGCTTGGATTAACAGTGGATCCTCTTGTCTCAGCCTCCCTAGTACTGGGATTACAGGTGTGTGCCACCAAACCTGGTTTCGGGGCACGCACAGCATGGGGTACCAGGGATCAAACCTGGATGTTTGCACTTGCCAGGCAGATGCTTAGACTGCCGAGCTATCTCCCCAGGCCCTCCAAAAAAAATTCTTTAAAAGCCTTTCAACCACAAGCAGTCCAAGTCAGAGATATGTAATTTGCACCATAATGTATTCAGTTCTTTCCTGATAGTGTTTTACTACTTGTAAAAGTTTGTAAAGACACATGTAGGCACAACGTGCCTCCTCTATGTCCTTCTCACCGTGACCTCCTGGGGAACGAGTGGACATGAGTTACCAGCAGTAAGTCCGGGACAGGCGTGAGCAGTGAGGAAGGCTGCTCGTAGACGCACTCAGGCTAGGCTCCTGGGAGAGCGCTCAGACATGCAAGCCCTTCTGGAATTGCTGGACAGCAGTCTGAGTACATGGCAGTCTGCATTTAAGTAGCTTTTTCTTCCCATCCTTGCGATTGTAAATAACCAACAGAGATTTGGCCACTTTTAAGTGGCAGGAAAGGCAATGTGCTAGGAGCTCGACTCACCATCTTGTCTGGACTGAGGAACAGCCTGGCATTTTTCCCCCCTTAGGAGTTTTTTTGAGAAATAATTTACCTACCATGCAATTCACCCTTTAAAAAAGTGCAGCATAGCAACAGAAGAGTACATTCACAGAGTTTACTTAATTACTTTTCTCTCATTGCTGAAATAAAATACCTGATACCCAAAATTAAAAGGGGGAGGTTTCTTTAGCTCACAGTTTATAGAGGTTTTTGTCCATTTATTGGCATGCTCCAAGGCAGGGTGGCAGGGCAGAGGCAGCGCAGAGGAGAAAGAGCTCATGGTGGGCAGAAGGCAGCAAAGCAGCGAGGGTTCACCACAGTCCTTCTATCCCTTATGTCTTATCCAGGTTACTTAGAGCAGGGAGCACTCACACCCTTAGTCCTAGTGCCCTTGATCCTAGCATTGCACCATGAATCAACTCCAATGTCACACATTCTAGACCCAGCCACCTCTGACCATATGAGGCTTTGGGGGGACATCTAAACACAAGCCATAACCATTATACAACAGTTATCACAATTACTTTTGGAATTATTCATCACTCCCAAACGAAACTTCATATCTTTTATCAATAACTCTCTACCCCATTCTCTCCCAATGGTAGCCAACCCCTAATCTACTTTCTGTATTAATGGATTTACCTATGCACATGTTTCATATGACCAGATTTTGTATGAATGACTGGCTTAGTTGATATTTTATTTCACTGCATATTTCATATGACTGACTCACCTCCTTCCCTTAGGACAGCATTTTCAAGGCCCATCTATATTGTCACATAAATTAGTTCATTATTCCTTTCCATCGCTGAATAATCCCCTATATGCATATAGCATGTTTTGTTTATCCATTTATCAGTTGATGGATGTTGGTGTTGTTTCTACTTTTTTAGCTTTTATGAACTACAATGCTCTGGATATTTGCATCCGAGATTTTTGTGGGCATATGTTTTAATTGCTTCTGGGTTTATAGCCAGAGTGACCTGCTGGAACACATGGTAGTTCTGTACTTAATCTTTGAGGCGTTGCCAAAATCTTTTCCAAACTGTCTGCATCATTTTGCACCCTTACTAGCATTTTATGAGGATTCTTTTCCATATCCTCTCCATCACTTGTTATTTTTTCCTTTCTAAAAATTTTATTCATTCTAGTGGGTGTGATGTTATCTGTCACTGTGGTGTAGACTTGCAGTCCCAGTTGCTTAGTGACACTGGGTATATTTTCATGTACTCATCAGTCATTTGCTTATCTTTGTGTGTGTGTGTGTGTGTGTGTGTGTGTGTGTGTGTGTGTGTGGAACCAGGAATTGAACTCAAGCCCTTGCGCTTGCCAGGCAAGTGCTTATTCTACTGAGCTATCTCCCTGGCCCCTTATATATCTTCTTTAGAGACAGGCATATTTTGATTCTTTGCCAATTTTAGTTAACTGTCCTTTTACTTTTGTCCAAATTCTTTACACATTCCATCTACAAGTCCTATATCACATCTATCATTTGCCAATATTCTCTCATCTTCCGTGGGCTGGCTTTTCACTGTTTTGGGCTTCCCAAGTTTTGCCAAACCTAGAAGGATTTACTGGAGAGAATTATTTCTGTGTCTGCAGCAGGTCACAGTAGCCTCAGAGAACAAAATGTGGCTGAAGACTAGGAAGCCTTTAGCTCCACTTATGCTGTTAATTAAAAGGAGAGGACATGGATCAATTTGCCCTATAGCAACCCATGCTGGATTTGGCGAAATATTGTTTTTTAAAGGTGGGAGAACTCCAGAGAGAACTTTATCTGAAAACTGCATGTATTATCTCATGTCAGTGGCCTTTATGCCTTCCATCTCTGAGAGGATCAAGTTGGACTTTCAGAAGTCCTACTAGGTGATCGAGGATGTAGAGTGTGCTTAAGGAGAGTCACATGGAGAGAAAACATTCTCTCAGGCTTTCATAGAGAGCACATTGGCCAAGCAA